GGTTTATGTGAAGAGCTCCCTTTTCCCACACTCTCCACCTGCTTGTCTCAAGTAAATATTTATTCTACATTTCTCAGGTTTTGGAAATCAATTTTTTTATACTAGTCAAGAGTTCGTTGTCACTGACTAGTCAAGTGTTCTTTGTCATTACTAAAACAACAATGGATTCTATGACTGTCCAAGATCTTAGCTATAAACGATCATCATTGTGTTTGGTACTGCTCACATTAACTATCCATTAACCAAGATGTACTTAAGATTTAGCCATAGATTAACTTTGTGAAAGCTTAGAGCAAGGTGCTTCTTGAAATGTTATGATAATTAGAAGCCAAAGTATTGAAACAAAAATGGATTCTATTACTGTAACACCTTAGCTCTAAACAGTTCGTTTTGTGCCTCAGGTGGAAAGCTCGTTCACAGGCAATTCTCAGCGTTCTCAGAAATCTCAAGGCTGATTTCTTCTGTCTGCAGGTTTTTTTCTTGTAAAACTACATCCTTTTTTTTTTGTTTGGTCTGAATCGAGAAAGCCTTTTCTAATGAGACTGAAGTTCTTCTTCTATTTCATTCAATCCAATAGAAAATTGCAGACATGTATAAAATGTTAGTATTGTTCATAGCGCCTTTAAGTCGTGTGTATCAACACATTGCCTCCGCTTGTTATTTATCTCGTTATAAGGCTCGCAGGAAGTAGATGAGTACGATAGCTTTTACAGAAAAAATATGGAGTCTCTGGGCTATTCTGGGATTTATATTCAGAGAACCGGGCAGAGGAAGCGTGACGGTTGCGCGATCTTCTACAAGCCAAGCTGGTATGATAAAAAAAAAAACATTAGGGGTGACAAGAATTTAACTTCGTAAAGCAAAATATTAATCTGATTGAAAACAACACTCTTCTTTTGATTTAGTGCAGAGTTGGTCACCAAAGAACGGATAGATTATAATGATCTTGTGGACTCAATAAAGGCAGATAGTATTTCCTGCAGCGAACAGAAGACTGAGACATCCAACGAAGCAAAAGGCGATGAGAAAGCGAAAGGTAAATTTGTCCTTTTGGATGAATAAAAGCAAACTTCTTTGTGGTGTTTCTTCATATCTCCACATCATTACCAACATTTATCCATTGTTCTCTTTACATATTTCCACAAATCTGATCCAAACAAACAAAAGATTCGCGAAAAGAAAGTCGTGACCTTAATGATCCCCGAGTAAGACTAAAACGTGATTGTGTTGGCGTAATGGCTGCTTTTAGAATCAACAAGCCTTTTCAACACATCGTTATCGTGGCAAACACACATCTTTACTGGTAAAGAAAACTTCTCTTGTCACCGAATTAAAGATTTTATTTCAACATGTTTCATCTCATGTTTGCATCTCTTTATAGGGACCCGGAGTTAGCTGACGTCAAGCTTGCTCAAGCCAATTATCTACTTTCACGGCTAGCTAAGTTCAAGACGCTAATATCAGATGAATTTGAGTGCACACCTTCGTTGCTACTGGCTGGTGACTTCAATTCAATTCCTGGAGACGAGGTTTGATTCAATTGCTTACCTTGAGTTCCCTGCTTGTTCCAATCTATTCGTAAAATTATAAAAACCGGTATTTTTCGTCGTTTTTTCAGGTGTATAGTTACCTAGTATCGGGTAATACGAAACCTGCAGAGACCGT